GTAAAGTGTATAACCTATGCATTTTGGTGGGCAAGTCTCAGTTCTGGCTACGCATTACTGCAAGACACTTGACCTCTAATAAACATATACTTTTCTCAGCGAATGGAGCCAAGGGATGTTTTCTACCTAGAGGTTTAAGTTTGCGGCAGGTGTGACAGACAATTCAGTGATGGAACAGAAGCGAAGGAAAAAGAGAACATTCCTGGGGGGGAAATGTGTTGAAATGGTGCCTTTGGTTTGAAAAGACGGGCCGAGGAGAGAGGGAAGGCGGGAAGGATAATGAAATGAGGAAGGCAGGAAGGCAAGAAGGATAATGAGATAAGGGAAAGAAAGTAAAGGAGAGGAAAGGAAATGAGAGGAAATGAGAGGCAAGGAAACGAGGAAAGGAAAGGAGAGGAAAATGTATGGGAGGGAGGGAAGAAGGAAGGAAAGAAAGAAAGAAAGAAAGAAAAAGAAAGAAAGAAAGAAAGAAAGAAAGAAAGAAAGAAAGAAAGAAAGAAAGAGAGAGAGAGAGAAATAAATGTGGGCTGATCAGTTGCAACAGAGGGATCGGCAAACCGCTGCTCCCTGTGCCAAACATCCCAGAACTGTGGTTTACCCTAAGCATGGCATCATGCCCCATTGCAAACAGGCCTTCTGTTTCATTTGCTTCCCAGGATTCTTGTGAAGGTAAAATGCCAGCATCGGCTGGCTGAGGCAACCTCTCCCTAAAAAAGAAAAAAAGATAGAATCCATCTCCTCAGTTTGCAGCCAGAAAGCAATACAGCCCACAGTGGTCATTCTGGGGGCTGAAGAAGCCCCCATATTTTCAAGCTGCGAAAGCTGAGGAAAACACCGGCCTAGGCAATTTCCTGAGGACTCCTCCCTAACTAGTAAAGAAACGGTTTTGAGGTCGGCTGTGGATGAATCCTGCTGAGACTGGATTCTGGACTGAATTCTCTGGGCGAGGACTGAGACGCTTGAAGGCCGAGGCCCTGTTTGCGTCCCTCTATCACAGTGTTTCTCAACCTTGACAATTTTAAGGCATGTGGACTTCAACTCCCAGAATTCCACAGCCAGCATTGCTGGCTGTGGAATTCTGGGAGTTGAAGTCCACATGCCTTAAAATTGTCAAGGTTGAGAAACACTGCAAGTCTGTCAGCTGATGAGGCGATTCGCCTGACAAGCACTTTGAGATAAACGCTAAAAGGAATGCCTTACTCACAGCAAAGTGTTCTGCGGCTCAGTGGCATGCTTCTAATGCAGAATGTAGATAAATAGTAAGCCAAACGAATGTGTGCGTGTGTTTCTAGAAGTCCTCGACTTACAACAGTTCGTATAGTGACCGTTCAAACTTACAACGGCAACGAAAAAAGTGACCATTTTTCACACTTAACAATGGTTGCGGCATCCCCATGGTCATGCAACCAAAATTCGGATGCTTGGCAACGGACTCATATTTATGATGGTTGCAGCGTCCCGGGGTCATGTACAGGTAGTCTTCGACTTACGACAGTTTGTTTAGTGACCATTCAAAGTTGCAACGGCACTGAAAAAAGTGACTTAGAACCAATAATAATGATGATGATGATGTTGGACGGGACCTTGGAGGTCATCTAGTTCAACCCCCTGCTCAAGCAGGAAACCCTATACCATTTCAGACAAATGGCTGTCCAGTCTCTTCTTAAAAACTTCCAGTGTTGGAGCATTCACTGCTTCTGGAGGCAGGTTGTTCCACTGGTTAATTGTTCTAACTGTCAGGAAAGTTCTAGGTTGCTTCTCTCCTTGATTAGTTTCCATCCGTTGCTTCTTGTCCTGCCTTCAGGCACTTTGGAGAATAGCTTGACTCCCTCTTCTTTGTGGCAACCCCTGAGATATTACCGATTAGTGAGAATATAATACATTATGGAAACAGCAGTCATTCATTATTTGGCTTTTTGGGATCGTAAAACATTTGCCTCTCTCTGTAGCCAAAGTCGTAATGGAAGCTTGTTTTCATCTGGGTTCCGTTTCATTATTGTTGAGGGGGAAATTCCAGCTTCACCAAATCTAATTATTAGTGTACTTTTCCATGCTTTTAACTTAGGAAAGGATAGAAATCTGGGTTTTAAGTTGCCGAGAGCACCGAAATCTCTTCTATATAGAAAATATCTAGATATTATTGGGAATAAGTAATTGGAGAGGACCCATTACCAATCCCCGTTGCTTGAACATAGAAAACGACGGATAACCCACCTTTCTCTAGGTCTGCTTCTTCAACCGCCTCAACTTTAAGCCGTGTGGACTTCAACTCCCAGAATTCCCCCAGCCAGCATGCTGGCTGGGGGAATTCTGGGAGTTAAAGTTCCCACATATTAATACTGTATCCAGTTTGGGTCACCATGATGTAAAAAAGATGTTGAGACTCTAGAACAGTGATGGTGAACCTTTTAGAGACCAAGTGCCCCAAAACCGCCACCCACCCCCGTCCCCGCTCCGGCCTGCCCACTGGGCCACCCACCACCTCCACAGCCCGCCACAGATCACCCAGGCAGCCCAGCAGCGCCATGGCAGCCACGCCCTCCGCCCATGCCCCGCAGCATCATCTGCACACAACAGGGCGCAAGGGCAGAGTCTTGTCCCTGCTGCCTGGCTACCATGTCCTTGGCTGCACTGCTTCGCGTGGGCTGCGCCCAGGGGTGACTCTCCTCAGGGGTGGCTGGTGGTGAGGAGGGGGCCGTGGGAGGAGGCAGGGCTGGGGAGATGGTGCGTGTGCCCACAGAGAGGGCTCCGAGTGCCGCCTTTGGCACCTGTGCCATAGGTTTGCCACCACTGGTCTAGAAAGAGTCCAGAGAAGAGCAACAAAGATGATTAGAGGACTGGAGGCTAAAACATACAAGGAATGGTTGCTGGAATTGGGTATATCTAGTTTAATGAAGAGAAGGGCTAGGGGTGACATGATAGCAGTCTTCCAATATCTCAAGGGTTGCCCCAAAGAAGAGGGAGTCAAGCTATTCTCCAAAGCGCCTGAAGGCAGGACAAGAAGCAACGGATGGAAACTAATCAAGGAGAGAAGCAACCTAGAACTAAGGGGAAACTCCCTGACAGTGAGAACAATTAACCAGTGGAACAACCTGCCTCCAGAAGCGGTGAATGCTCCAACACTGGAAGTTTTTAAGAAGAGACTGGACAGCCATTTGTCCGAAATGGTATAGGGTTTCCTGCCTGAGCAAGGGATTGGATTAGATGACCTCCAAGATCCCTTCCAACTTTATTATTATTGTTGTTGTTGTCAAGGTTGAGAAACACAATTCTGTGTATACTGAACTGGTCATTCACAAACGGTTTGAAGCTACGATGGAACCCCCTAAAAGGGACTTATAACTTGGTCTCAAGAGTTCTGACATTCTCTCTCTCTCTCTCTCTCTCTCTCTCTCTCTCTCTCTCTCTCTCTCTCTCTCTCTCTCTCACACACACACACACACACACACACACTTCTGCTACCATGTGATTGCATTTTGGGCACCGGGCAACTGGCACACCCTGATCATGTGCCTGCAATTGATGAAATTTTTGCCAGAAAATATTTGATTGCTGGCAGAAACCAGCCCATAGTTAACAACCCATAGTTAACGGGTTTGCTTAACAACTGCTGCAGCTGGATGAACTGCTGCGTTTGGTTAACCCAACTGCCACAAGCAAGATCATAAAAACGGGTCTGGTCACCTGGTGATCCACTTTACGACCTTCGTGAGTAATTGCTCAATTACGGTCATAACTCAAGGACTACCTGTAATTGGTACCATATTACCTCAGCCTCCTTAAGAGGCTATAATAAGAATTAGAATCAGCTTTCCTGCAGCTTGGTTCTATTACCTTGAACCTTAGGCGCTGAAATGATGGAAAGCAGGTCTTCACTGCCTTCTTTGGGATGTCCCTTCAGACGTACGAAAAGTGTGGTTGTGTTCCTCCTCAATCTTCTATTCTCCAGGTGAAACTACCCAACTCTTTCAGAGTCTCCTCATACAGTAGGTCATGGTTCTTAGTCATTCTATTGCTCTTCTCCCTGCCTCTTTCCCCCATTTTCTCTCTCTCTCTCTCTCTCCCTCTTTCCCTGCCTCTTTCCCCCATTTTCTCTCTCTCTTTCTCTCTCTCTCTCTCTCTCCTTCTCCCTCTTTCCCTGCCTCTTTCCCCCATTTTCTCTCTCTCTCTCTTTCCCTGCCTCTTTCCCCATTCTCTCTCTCTCTTTCCCTGCCTCTTTCCCCCATTTTCTCTCTCTCTCTCACTCTCTTTCTTTCCCTGCCTCTTTCCCCATTCTCTCTCTCTCTCTCTCTCTCCCTCTTTCTTTCTTTCCTCCCTTCCTTCCTTCCTCTCCCTCTCATCCATACACCTTCCTTCCTTCCCCTGTCCCTCTCATCCATACTCCTCCCTCCCTCCCTTCCTTCTCCTCCCTCTCATGCATACACATTCCTTCCTTTCTTCCTCTCATCCATACTTCTTCCTTCCCCTCCCTCTCATCCATATACCTATCTTCCTTCCTTCTTCCCTTTCTCCCTCTCATCCACACTCCTTCCTTCCTTCCTTCCTTCCTTCCTTCCTTCCCCTCCCTCATCCACACCTTCTTTCCCCTCCCTCCCTTCAATACACCTTTCCTTCCCTCCCTCCCTCCCTCCCTCCCTCTCTCCCTCCCTCCCTCCCTCCCTTCCTTATCAGACAAGATGGACAGGGGAAACCTTTACTTTTACCTGGTCTAAATCCTTACAGGGCGGTGACCAGAATCAGATATATTATTTGAGGTGGGGTCTCACCAATCCTGCCTGCAGAAGTCTGCTTTTCTCCTTGTCCTGGGCCTCTGGAAGCCTTACTGTGGGCCTTCTGTTGTCCTAGCCAAACTGGAGCATTTGGACAACCTTGATGTGGCATTCCAGATGTATCTGCAGCAACCAGAGAATCCGGGTAAATATTTACACTGTGGAGAGGACATTCCATGTCTAATCTCCCTGGTCCCTTCCCGTACGTGACTGGCCTTTCTCTCTGTCTTCAGTTTCCCATAGATTAGCAACCAGCCATCTAATTTTTTCCCCCCTTCCTAATGTTTCTCACTCCCATCACCCTCACCCTCCCAGCCCGGAATTCTTTCCTCTGTGATACGCTGGTCACACGGAAGTCCTTATCGGCAGGAAGGAAAAGCTAGAAGGTCAGATTCACAAACGTCTTGAAAATGTCAGCTCTTGCAAGGTTACGAGGCTTCCAGGATTGCTGAGCCATTTTTCTCCCACGTCTTCTGGATGCGCAGAACAGCTGGCAGACCTATTACAATTTATGCATGTTAGAGATCAGCATCTTTGGTGTGTCTCCAGCCAGTTTGGAGAGAGGGAGAGAGAGAGAGAGAGAGAGAGAGAGAGAGCGAGAGAGCGAGCAGTGTGATGCTGGTGTGTTTGTTATAAGGAAGGCCATAAGCCGTGGTAATGTGGATTAATGAACAATTAATGAAAAATCACTAAAATAATGATTGTGTCTGCATAATTACTAGAATAATGCTGTGTTAGCAATATGTGACTAACCTAATGTGCATTACATTTGGATACAATGTATGTAGCAAAACACTCCATTGTATGCCTGTGAGAAACGGACCTAATGTATCACAATGTGTATTAGAATGTGTAGTCTTTTGTTCCTCAGAAAAAGAAAGTATAAAACTGAAGTCTGAACCCACCCTCGGGGTTCAGAATTGCTGGTTGCGATTGCTTCTGAACCTGCGCAATAAATCTCTCTGCTAAACCTTGCGTTTTCCACAAGAGTGGAGAGTGGGGTCTTCTTTGATTCAAGCTTCTGGTGAATTCCTTGGTTTCAAAAGTGGTTTGTAATGGCCTTATTCCAATATATTTTTCTTGACTTGCTGGTTTGACCCACAGATGTGTTCCCTGTTAAAAATTCTCTTCCAAGTACTAGCTTAGTCTGATCCAGGTTTAGCTAGAGCAGGGGTCTTCAAACTTGGCCCTTTTAAGAGGTGTGGACTTCAACTCCCAGAATTCCTCAGCCAGCATGCCTGGCTGAGGAATTCTGGGAGTTGAAGTCCACACCTCTTAAAATGGCCGAGGTTGAGTTAGCTTTTTCTGAGTTAGCATTATTTCCCCCTCACATTATGTCAGGAGTCTTCAAACTTGGCCCTTTTATGACTTGTGGACTTCAACTCCCAGAAGTCCTCAGCCAGGCACGCTGGCTGAATGAATGAATTCAGTTTGAATTGAATCATTGTCATTGTTAAGGGAGACACGTTATTGAGCGACTTCGGCTTCCCTCATTGTTTGTCGGAGGTCAACAGGGAAGGCCTCAATCACGTGACCCTGGGATGGTACCACCATGGTAAATACTTACCAGTTGCCAAGTGTCCAAATTTTGATGACATGACTGGGGATATGTGCGACGTGGCAAAAAAAAAAAAAAAAAAAAAAAAAAGCTCGTAAAATCAGGTGCAGCTCACTTAACCACTGCCTGGAAATTCTGCTCCCAATTCGTAAGTTGAGGACTGGCAGTACTGTTCTTGCTTACATTTTAATAAATATTGTAGCGTTGGAAGAAAGCCCCAATATCCAATGAACTTTGTTCTGTGCAGTTGAAGGAGCAAAGTCTGTTTGTCATCGAAAAAGCCACTGGAACTGTGACCTAATCATTTTGCTTCGAATCCTGTAACATTTCATAGATTCTCTGGCGTTTTTCTGTTAGGAAGCATTTAACCTATCTATCTATCTATCTATCTATCTATCTATCTATCTATCTATCTATCTATCTCCTTCTGGATTTCTTCAGTTCTCTTTTTCTTCTTTCCTTGCAGCTTGGTAAATGAGTATGGAAGATTATGACTTTCTCTTCAAAATAGTTTTAATCGGGAACGCTGGTGTGGGGAAGACCTGCTTAGTGCGACGATTCACACAGGTAAGATGTCAATCACCTTCCTTGTAAGATATTTCTGCATGTCAGGGAGAAAAGATTGAATGTGGCGTGACACCTCTCCCCCCCCCGAGGATTTGAGCCATTTGCTTTTGATGGGAGGTGATACCATATTTTATTTTATTATTTTATTGTTCTATTTTCTTATTTTATATTTTATTTTACTTTATTTATTATTTCCCAAAGGTGCTTTTTCAGAAAGCAACTGGACTTTCTTAGGGTTTTTTTTAAAAAAGACATTTTAGCTTCTCATCCAAAACATCTTCAAAGAAAAACAAGAAAATCCAGCTGCCTCTTGAAAAAGCACTTTGGGGACAGCCATGACTGAGAATCTCCATAGACTTGTTTTGTTTTGTTTTATTATTTTATTTTATTATTTTATTTTATTATTATTTAATTTAATTTAATTTTATTATTTTATATTATTTTATTTTATTTTACTTTATTTTATTTATTTTTCATTTTATTTCATTTCATTTTTTATTATTTCATTTTTATTTTATTTATTATTATTTCCCACCGTTATCTTTTTACAAAAATAACTCAAGGCAGCCAACATATCCAACACACCTTCCTCCATTGTTTTCCCCTCAACAATAACCCTGTGAGGTGGGGTTGGGCTGAGGGAGAGAGGGATTGACTGACCCCACGGTCGCCCAGCCGGCTTTCATGGCCAAGATGGGACTAGAATTCCCAGTCTCCCGGTTTCTGGCTAGAATATATACGCATCATTTAAAGGCTGCCTGCAAAACTTCCCTGAGGCACTGAATTAAAAAGTGACAGATTGTCAGGGCTTCTTCGTTAGTGTGAGATGGTAAATCCAGCTTTTGTAAATCACTTTCTGTGAACTGGTCTGTCATTGGCTTGCAAAAAAACCAAACATGTCTTAAACAGAATAATGATTGTCAGGTACGGATGTTTCTTGTTCAAGAGAAGATTTTCTGGTTTGTTAAACTAGAGTACAAGATAGTTGCTGACTTACAACCATTCCTTTGGTGACAGTTGAAAGGTACAATGGCACTGAAAAAAGGGACTGATAGCAATAGCAAGAGCACTTATATACAGCATTCTCTAAGTCAGGCATGTCAAACTCGCGACGTCATGTGACGTCACGCAACGTATCGGGCCGATTTTGCCATTGCTGGCAATGGGGTGGGCGTGGCTTCCATGTGACGTGTCTGACCCGTGGGCCGGCAGTTTGACACCCGTGATCTAAGTGGTTCTTGGCCCGCCCTCCCTCCCTTCCTTCCTTCCTTCCTTCCTTCCTTCCTCTCCCTCTCCCTTTGTTTTCCTTCCTTCCTCTCTCCCTCTTCCTCTCCCTTTGCTTTCCTTCCTTCCTTCCTTCCCTCTCCCTCTCCCTCTGGTTTCCTTCCTTCCTTCCTCTCTCCCTCTTCCTCTCCCTTTGCTTTCCATCCTCCCTTTCCTCTCCCTCTCCATTTTCCTTTCTTCCTTCCTCCCTTTGTTTTCCTTCCTTCCTCTCTCCCTCTCCCTCTTTCCTTCCTTCCTTCTCTCCCTCCCTTCCTTCCTCCCTCTCCCTCTCCCTTTATTTTCCTTCCTTCCTCTCTCTTCCTCTCCCTTTGCTTTCCTTCCTTCCTTCCTCTCTCCCTCTCCTTCTCCCTTCCTTCCTTCCTTCCTTCCTTCCTCTCTCCCTCTTCCTCTCCCTTTGCTTTCCTTCCTTCCTTCCTTCCCTCTCCCTCTCCGTTTTCCTTTCTTCCTTCCTCCCTTTGTTCTCCTTCCCCTCTCCCTTCCTTCCTTCCTTCCTTCCTTCCTTCCTTCCTTCCTTCCTTCCTTCCTTCCTTCCTTCCTTCTCTCCCTCTCCCTCTCCCTCTCCCTTTGTTTTCCTTCCTTCCTTCTCCCTCTCCCTCTCCCTCTCCCTCTCCCTTTGTTTTCCTTCCTTCCTGGCTGAAGAATTCTGGGAGTTGAAGTCCACAAGTCATAAAAGGGCCAAGTTTGAAGATCCCTGCATTAGAGCATCAATAATTAATACAGTTGCTCGCTCAGGTCCATTTGGAGATCGCAGCTGAAATGCAGAGGCTCCAGTAACCTCACAATCGCCCGTAACCTTTCAAGCAATCATTAAAACCCTTATTGAAAAAAACAAACAAGACCCTTCTGCAGAGAGAATTGATGCTTAAACCAGCTTCACCAAGCCTCCCGACAGTCAAGATGTTGTTAGGGCCTTTTAAAATTTTGATAGATCAGGCTCCAGGTATACAATCGTTCTGGGAAACTCTGGTGCCAACAGTCTGAAACCAGATTGAGGGGGGGGGGGAAAGCTTTTAAATATGACTTGGCTATTTTAGTGCAGCAGGAAAGTCCCAGTTGGTCTGAGGTAATATGTGAATGAACTAAGCCAGGGGTAGGCAACCTTGGCTCTTTTATGACTCATGGACTTCAACTCCCAGAATTCCTCAGCCAACCATGCTGGCTCAGGACTTCTGGGAGTTGAAGTCCACGAGTCATGAAGAGACTATAGTTCCCCCATGCTGGCTCAGGAATTGTGGGAATTGAAGTCCACAAGTCATGAAGGGGCTGTAGTTCCTCCATGCTGGCTGAGGAATTCTGGGAGTTGAAGTCCACGAGTCATGAAGGGACTATAGTTCCCCCATGCTGGCTCAGGAATTGTGGGAATTGAAGTCCACAAGTCATGAAGGGGCCGTAGTTCCCCCATGCTGGCTCAGGAATTGTGGGAATTGAAGTCCACAAGTCATGAAGGGACCACAGTTCCCCCATGCTGGCTCAGGAATTCTGGGAGTTGAAGTCCACGAGTCATAAAAGAGCCAAGGTTGCCTACCCCTGAACTAAGCGAACAAGCATGAGTACATTTTAGGACTTTTGATTTGCTTTTTTAAAATTCTTTCTTCTGCCCAAGACAATATACAGGTAGTCCTTGACTTACGACCACAGTGGAGCCCAAAATTTCTGCTGCTAAGTGAGAAAATTCTTGAGTGAGTTTTGCCCCATTTTATGACCTTTCTTACTACGAATGTTAAGTGAATCACGGCAGCTGTTAACTTAATAACACCGTTGTTAAGTGAATCTGGCTTCCCCATTGGCTTTGCTGGTCAGGTCACAGAAGGGGATCATGTGACCCCGGGACACTGCAACCGTCATAAACACTGGTCAGTTGCCAAGCGTCTGAATTTTGGTCATCTGGCTGTGGAGATGCTGGTCCAGTAAGTGCAACAAGTGTGATCAACGGTCATAAATAACTTTTTTCAGTGCTGTTGTAACTTTGAACAGCCACTAAATGAACTGCTGTATGTCAAGGACTACCTATACACAGGTAGTTCTTGACTTACAAAGTGTAATGGAGTCTGGAATACCCATTATGGGTCATGACAGTTATACATTGAGGCACCCATGTGACTGGACCCCCTTTTACAACTTTTTTTTTTTTTGCGGCAGTTGATAAGCAAGCACACCGTCATCCTAATCTTAATCCAACAATAAGCCTGTGAGGTAGGCTGGGTTGGTTGTCTGCCCCAAGTGCCCAAATTTTGATCACATGACCATGCAGATGTTGCGATGGACGTTAAGTGGGAAGACCAGTTGCAAGTCACTTCCCTCAGTGCCACGGTAACATCCAATGGATGCTGTAACGAATGGTTATAAATCAAAGACTGTCTGCATTGAGCTAATCCAAACTGAAACAATAACAGCAGGCCAAACCTTGCTCTAGAGCTGAAAGTGTTGTCTGAATATTTTATTTTCTTTGTTTGTTAAGGGGCTTTTCCCACCAGGCCAAGGAGCCACCATTGGGGTTGACTTTATGATTAAGACAGTGGAGATAAATGGCGAGAAAGTAAAGGTAAGTCCTTGCTGATAGTTTCTGCCTCGGCTTGGAATCTGCTTACGTTCCAAATGTGTAGTTGCAACTGAGGAGGAAGGTGTGTTGGATTAAGTTTGCCACCTTGAGTTATTAGTTAAAATAATAAACACTGGAAAGGAAAAGGGAGGGAGGGAGGAAGGGAGGGAGGGAGGAAGGACATGGAAAGAAGGAAGGAAGGAAGGAAAAAGATAAGAGAAAAAGCAAGCAAGCAAGGAAGGAAGGAAGGAGAAAAAAGAAAAAAGGAAGGAAAGGAAGGAAGAAAAAAGGAAGGAATGAGAAAAAGAAAGGAAACAGAAGGAAGGAAGGAAGGAAAAAGAAGGAGGAAGAATAGGAAGGAAGGAGAAGGAAGGAAGGAAGGAAAAGAAGAAGTGCTGGAGATTGTTGCTTTGTTCTCTTGGCTCTTTCAAGCTGATTATTTTCAGAACTTTGCCATTTTCAAAACTGATCTTCAGAAAATGTGTGTTCTTTTCTTTTTTCCTCGTCTCCATTTCTTTTGGTCTTGTGTCCTTTTAGAGCAGTGGTTCTCAACCTTTTTAATGCCGCGACCCCCAACCGGTCGTAAGTCGAGGACTACTCAAGTGGTGCAGCAGCGTTTGCAGAATGGGACTTTTGGTGGGCTCAGCAGGGCAGAGACAGCCTGGACAATTCCTATTGGCTTTTGAAAGCCAATAGAATCAGACTCTATTCAAGAGAGTCTATTCTATTGGCTTTCAAAAGCCAATAGAATAAAAGGGAGTAGCACAGCTAAGGAAAAGGGGGGAAAAAATGGCGGACAGCGTGGTTTGGCGACCCCCGTGAAATGGTCATTCGACCCCAAATGGGGTCCCAACCCACAGGTTGAGAACCGCTGTTTTAGATTACAAGCAAGGGCGAAGGGAGTTTTGTTTCTTCGAACTAATGTAAGCCACTGTGATGATTTTGGGAGCTTAACAGAAGGAGCCAATTCTTTCCCTCCCAAAACTTGTTCCCTCCCCCCCCCCTCCTGTCCCAAAAGCATCTGGAAGGGACCAGTTTTGGATAGGCTTCCTTAAACCTAAGACCCATTAACTGCTGACTTCATGATGGTTTCGGCTAGGCTTGGCTCAGCATGCAGTTTAGCATCTGTGGTTGTTTTCCTTCGGTAGGAATTGAGTTGCTTCAGTTGTTGTTGGTTCTCCTGCTAAAAGCCAAGGGCTGCACTCAGCACTTCACGAGCAAAGCTGAAATAAGAGTCTCTTTGCTCAGCCAGAATTGCTGAAAGGGCATTAAAACAATATTTATGTGGTTTGAATTCCAAGTTAATAGGGGCAATTGTGCAATCACGATCTATGTTAGAAAAGAGCCATTTTGGTCTAGGTCCTCAAGCTTGCTGGCTCAGGAATTCTGGGAGTTGAAAGTCTACAAGTCATAAAGGGGCCATAATTCCATGTTGGCTCAGGAATTCTGGGAGTTGAAGTCCACAAGTCATAAAGGGGCAATAGTTCCCCCATGCTGGCTCAGGAATTCTGGGAGTTGAAGCCCACAGATCATATAGGAGTCATAGTTCCTTACTTCTGGGTTAAAAGATGAGGATATATTATTAGAATTTGTTGCATATCCAGCTTAGATGTTTGGTATTAGTAGTCAGCCTGTCTACCGCTCCATTGATTTAGTCTACAGTCCTGTGTAATTTATAGTTAAGAGGCCATGATAAGACACGTAGGAATGTTCTGTAAAATAGCAAATACTGCAATTTTAATATAGGTACATTAAATGGGAGGCAAATGATCAGAGAACAACATTCATTGTTTAAAAGGAAAGGCAATCTTCTGCTTGCTTAGGAAGAAAAATAACTTTGCACATACTGTATACATTACTTTAAACAATGCTCCATAACAAAGCTTCCTTTTAAGTAGTTGATGTTGGCTCTCATTTATTAATTATATTGGCCCGTAGCTCTGGAGACTTTAATCTGGGGATTTGCTGAATTCATTGTATACATAAACTTTCCTCTTTCCAAAACATGAAAAAGAAGTTATTAAAATTCGGTTAAACAAACAAAATCAGACAAAATCAGCACTAGTGCGGCATTTTTATTTTTAAAAAGAGAAGACTAAAAAGAGAGAGAGAGAGAGGCCAGATAAAAGAAGGCAGAGTTCATCCAGCTAAAATATTTGGAGAATAAATCTTAAAGTTGGCGTGTTGCTTGGAGTGCCAATAAATGTTTGGGTGGGAGGATAGGTTGACTGTGAGGAGCTTTGTGTTCTCTGAGCTTGGCTGTTCACGTGCAGAGATTTCATTACCTGCCTAGGTGATGTCACCAGTGCTGACCCCACTCCCTTCTAGCACTGATGATGTTACCTAGTTGGGTAATGAAATGTCTGCAAAAAACAAAACAGTCAAGCTCAGAGAGCAACAAGGATGCCTCATTTCAACCCTGAACTACGAATATTCTCCTTTATCAATACCTTTTCCCTTTCTTTTTTCTTGGCTTCTTTTTGTCTGTTATGCTTTTTTTTTTTCAATGTAAAAGTTTTGAAAGAAATAAGAGGTGGACGCTTGAGATGGATGGGTACACCGGGAGGATTTGTGGACTAGGAAAGACACGAGGTCACAGGTTTTGTTGGGGGTTAATGCTAACGTATTCATTCTTTTTTTCCTTTTCCCAATCCTTTGTTTTCCCTTTCTTCTCCTTCCCTGTTGTGCGGAAAACAAAAGCTGCAGATCTGGGACACAGCGGGGCAAGAAAGGTTTCGTTCCATTACGCAGAGCTATTATCGCAGTGCCAATGCGTTGATCCTGACCTATGACATCACCTGCGAAGAGTCCTTCCGGTGCCTCTCCGAATGGCTACGGGAAATTGAGCAATACGCCAGCAATAAGGTCATCACCGTCCTAGTTGGTAAGCAACATTGGCATGTTTATTCGATGCCAGGGACCTGGGTCAGGCACAATTAAATCAGGAAGCAAGGCGGTTCAAATGACTTCAGGTTTACGGCATGCCAACGTTCTCTACAAGAATCTGAACTACTAACAGTCAAAGCAAATTGGCAGTTAATTAAAAAATCAGTGGAATTCAAGGTGGGCTGGATTTCGGTCTCTTGTGAACGCAAAGGGATTCCAAACTGATGACGCGTTTGACCCCTCCCTCAGACTCAGCCTGGTCATCTCCTACATCTTGCCAGATTAAAGCATCTGCATAAGCATTAGATATTCTCTGTGAATGGCTAGGGCAGTGGTTCTCAACCTGTGGGTCGGGACCCCATTTGGGGTCGAACGACCATTTCACGGGGGTCGCCAAACAAGGCTGTCCGCCATTTTTCCCCCTTTTCTTGGCCACGCCCCTGGCACCCGATGATGTATAAGTGGTTGGGGGTCACCACAACATGGGGAACTGTATTATGGGGTCGCGGCATTAGAAAGGTTGAGAACCACTGGGCTAGGGCAAGTCCATCTTTGCCCTTTTCCTGCATCCCAAATATTCCAAACTTCCTCTTTACTCTCAGGGAAAGAGCCCCTTCCTCCTGTTCACTGTGGACCACATTTCTCCATACTTTGGGCCACCCAAATCTGAGTTTTATCAAGCTCCTGTCCCACCCGCCCCTTACATAGTTGATATTCAGCTCAATAAGAATCACTACTCTTTGTTCAGTTGTTAGCTTCATGACTTTCTCGATCCTAATATTTTCCCCCGTTTGGTTCTTTAGGAAACAAGATTGATTTATCTGATAAGCGAGAAGTCTCCCAACAAAGAGCTGAAGAGTTTTCCCAAGCCCAGGATATGTACTATCTGGAGACGTCCGCAAAAGAATCCGATAACGTGGAAAAACTGTTTTTGGACTTGGCTTGTCGGCTGATCAGCGAAGCGAGGCAGAACACCCTGCTGAACAATATGGAGTCCCCCTTGCCGGGCGAAGGGAAAAATATCAGCTATTTGACTTGTTGCAATTTTAACTGACCGCATTTGAACCCCAAGAGTTATGACCGCTCCTCCTTCAGGCCTCTCTCTGGAGGCAAAGGCTGCCGTGACCCGGTCTGACTGGTGGAGATAGTCAGACGCCCGATCATGAAGCATGCCAGGCTGGTCATTTGTCTGCAGGGTCAGCCTAGAATATAATCCTTTCCCCCCCCCTTTTTAACACATCCCCCAACCCTGGAGCCCCGAAATCTGCAGGAGAATTAGGATTCCAAAAGGTGCTAGGGAGCAGCTGGTCAGGTCATGGTTTTCACTTCTTGGAAGCATCTGGGATCCTTCCTCTTGGAAATCCAGGGTGAATTGTGCCTGCACGAGACCTTTCGCATCTTCACGGAAGGAAATTAAGAGGCGCGTTAGAAAAATGGCTCTGGGTTGCCAACTAAGTTGACAACACTTGTATATAAACCATGACCCAGAGTGCCATTTTGTTCGGCACAATAACTCCACCAAGTGTGCGTGTTGTGTGCGTATGTGATTTTTTTTTTTTTGAAAAAACAACCACCACCATCACCACCCCTAAGTATTAATGCATCTGTGTTCTGGCATTTTGATAAACATGGAAATTAAAAAGGGATATGCTGGTCGTTTGTAACCGGCAGGGTTGAGATTGGATGACTGCTCTTTTGGTTCTTGTATTCCTGAAGCTAAATTTCAGCTGTGGTCAGCTTGTTGTGTTCTCCACAGTTAGGAGGCATGAACTTGGGAGAAATATTGATCGTAAATACAGCAGTTTTTGGGTTGGTTCAAACCAGCGTGGCAGTGCTTGTTCCAAGTAGAGAGCTATGTTACGAATTTAAAAGTTGATCATCCCTGCACCTCTGATCAAATAAGTGTTCTGAAACGTTGCCTCTCGACTCCGCATTGTCTACCATTTTGCCATATGGTGGGGCTTCTACTTTGTTCCTTGCAGAAAAGAGCTGGTTAACACCACTCCACCTATCCTGGACTTAGCCAAAATAGCTTCTTGGTGAGAAATGCTGGATCCTGGAAAGCTGGACTTCAGATGCGGTTGTTTGAGGCTGGGGTTATACCTATGCACAAATGTAATTATTGTTGATGCGTTTCAGGAACTGGGCGTTGATGTCCGGTGTTTGTCCTAGGAAGGTCTCCAAGTCCCTCTAGACATGAGCTGTTCACCACAGCAGGTAGCCTTTAACGGCTGAATCCTGCTTTTAACTAGAACAGTAGCACCAGCTCTAGAATTTGCCGGCTTCTTGGAAAGGGTGTGTACAATTTCAAAAGGGTTTCCTATATGATTGAGGGGGAGAAAAAAATAGCATGTTCTAAATCAGCGGTTCTCAACCTGTGGGTCGCGACCCCATTTGGGGTCGAACGACCATTTCACGGGGGTTGCCAAACAACGCAGTCCGCCATTTTTTCTCCCTTTTCATTAGCTGTGCTACTCCCTTTTATTCTATTGGCTTTTGAAAACCAATAGAATAGACTCTCTTGAATAGAGTCTAATTCTATTGGCTTTCAAAAGCCAATAGGAATTGTCCAGGCTATCTCTGCCCTGCTAAGCCCGCCAAAAGTCCCATTTTGCAAACGGTGCTGCAAGTTGTCTGCAGCGAAGGCGAGCTGTCTGGAAGTTTCCACCCCTCCCTGCTGAGCAACTACTAAAAGTGTAAGTAAAAGAGGGCCGGGGTGGGAGGCCAGCGGGCGTAGGGAGGATTGCTGGAGTTCGTGGGGCCCGGTGGGTGCCTTACCTCCCTTGGGCTGGGCCAGCTGGTGGCCCAGACGGTGGTCGGCCTGCGCCGTCTCTGCCACTTTCCAGCTACGCCTCGGCCGGCGCAGGGGGCAGCACCACGCATGTGTGGCGCTCCCAGGCAGGGAAAGTCCTCAACTTATGACCAATTGGGTAGTCCTCAACTTATGACCGGTTGGGTAGTCCTCGACTTACGACTGGTTGGGGGGGGTCGCAGCATTAAAATGGTTGAGAACCCACTGTTCTAAATCTTTTAGCCAGCTTTATTGAGGCTGTGATTATCTTGCAGAATATGTAGCTCTGAAAAGCAATTTACAAAGGCAGAAATGCACGCCCTCTTCCCACAGTCACGGGGAGATTCGTTGGCTTGCTGTACTTGGGCTTCACTGTGTGTGGGCGTGCGTGCTCGTGTGTTGTGCGCTTGTGTGCGTATGCAAAGAACGGTTTTAGGCAATACCCTTGAACCAAGGCCTCGGTGTCGGATGGACGATACACAAGAGTCTTACCGTGCGAGCTTGCAAATTCAACACTCAAAATGTCGAACTGAAGGAGTCCATCAACGCAGACTTCCTCCATTGTTGGTGCTTCACTTGTGTACCTTGAAGAGACAGAGAAACTGCCTGGAAGGCAACGGACTCACAACGGGTTATTAAGATTAGTATTATATGACTGTTCCGTATTTAGCATCACTTAATTTGGGCAACTGGAAGAAGCAAATAAGGTTTTTGGTACGGCATTCAAAGAAGAGGTGGTTTTACCAACGGGCACATTGGCCTCTGGCAACAGCAGTGGTATACTAAATTCAGGAGGGCCAGCTAGCACAGGATAATTTGGGGGGGGGGGCTAGAGTTGTGCTCAAACTATGACTGATGTCCCCTTTTGCATTCAAATAAAAGCTGCTAAAAATTTAGCCTTTTTGAGAATAAAGCTGACATTTTAAAAGTGCTGGTTGTTTTTTTTTCCTTGCAGGCGGTTTTTTTCCCCCAAGATCCCAACATTACTGCTGTAAAAATCATGGAATTATCCTGCCTTTCCGATGTAGAATACGGCTTCCAATGTTCATTTATTAATGAACAGAGAAGAAATCTCGAATCACATGTACAGGCAGACTTCGACTTACAATCATAATTAATAATAATAATAGTAGTAAAGTTGGAAGGGACCTTGGAGGTCATCTAGTCCAACCCCCTGCTCGGGCAGGAAACCCTACACCATTTCGGACAAATGGCTGTCCAGTCTCTTCTAAAAACTTCCAGTGTTGGAGCATTTACTGCTTCTGGAGGCAAGCTGTTCCACTGATTAATTGTTCTCACTGTCAGGAAGTTTCTCCTTAGTTCTAGGTTGCTTCTCTCCTTGATGAGTTTCCACCCGTTGCTTCTTGTCCTGCCTTCAGGTGCTTTGGAAAATAGCTTCATTCCCTCTTCTTTATGGCAGCCCCTGAGATATTGGAACACTGCTATCATGTCCCCCCTTGTCCTTCTCTTCGTTAAACTAGACATACCCAATTCTAGCAACCGTTCCTTATATGTTTTAGCCTCCAGTCCCCTAATCATCTTTGTTGCTCTTCTCTGTACTCTTTCTAGAGTCTCAACATCTTTTTACATCGTGGTGACCAAAACTGGATGCAGTATTCCAAGTGTGGCCTTACCAAGGCATTGAAGAGTGGTATTAATACTTCACCTGATCTTGATTCTATCCCTCTGTTAATGCAGCCTAGCACTGTGTTGGCCTTTTTGGCAGCTGCAGCACACTGCTGACTCATATTTAGGTGATTGTCTACTAGGACTCCCTAGTTGAGCCCCAAAATTTCCTTTGCTAAGCAAGACAATTGTTAAGTGAGTTTTGTCCGTTTTATGACTGCAGTTAAGTTAGTAACACGGTTGTTAAGTGACTCTGGCTTCCCCCGTTGACTTTGCTTGTCAGAAGGTGGCAAAAAGTGGTGACGTGACCCCTGGACACGGCAACCGTCATAAGTACATGCCGGTTGCCAACCCTCTGAATTTTGATCACACGACCACTAGCGGCGACGATCGTGTGAAAAACAGTTATAAGTCACCTTTTTCAGCGCCGCTGTAACTTAGCACAGTCACTAAATGAATAGTTGTAAGTCAAAAGATTACCTGAATACAATTTTAGGGCTAAAATATGACTTGCGCCGTTGAGGGAAAAGATGGCGGTTACCCTTCGCAGGACCACAGATTTACGTGATCTGAAAGCTCCTTCTAAGCTGTGATTAATCATGAATGTCTACAATCCTGTGCCATAGATGTATTGCTTTATTTGATTTACGGTTCTTGTATATACAGCCATAGTCTGAAAGGGCTTCCAGCGATTTACAATATCAAAATTTAAAGTGTCGGTAGACAAATACAGGCAGTTCTTGTTTAACCACTCTAGTCGAAAGCAGAAAGTCTGCCATTAAGCTACACACTTTTAAGTCAAACAAAACAATGTGGTCAGGTTGCTTAGCGGTGGCAGTTCCAGGAATCCTGGTTGCCACTGTTAAACAATGGGTGGGTCATCAAGTGAGGATCTCGCGTGACTGCCGCATCTGACTTCCTGCTGGCTTCCCCAATGCCTTTGCTTATGGAAGCTGGCAGAGAAGGTCCCAAAGTCATGATCACATAAGCCTAGGCCAGGGGTAGGCAACCTTGGCTTTTATGACTCGTGGACTTCAACTCCCAGAATTCCTGAGCCAGCACGAGGGAAACTTTGCCCCCTTCATGACTTGTGGACTTTAACTCCCAGAATTCCTCAGCCAGCATGGGGGAACTATGGCCCCTGCATGACTCATGGACTTCAACTCCCAGAATTCCTGAGCCAGCGTGGGGGAACTATGGCCTCTGCATGACTCATGGACTTCAACTCCCAGAATTCCTGAGCCAGCGTGGGGGAACTATGGCCCCTTCCTGACTCAGGGACTTCCAACTCCCAGAATTCCTGAGCCAGCATGGCTCAGCTTGGAAACCTCTCCCTTTCCCCTCAGCACGGCTGGGTCAGGAATTCTAGGAATTGAAGTCCACAAATCATGAAGGGGCCATAGTTCCCTCATGCTGGCTTAGGAATTCTGGGAGTTGAAGTCCACGAATCATAAAAGAGCCAAGGTTGCCTACCCCTGGCCTAGAACTAAACTTAACATACTTTAGACCAGGGGTAGGCTCTTTTATGACTCGTGGACTTCAACTCCCAGAATTCCTGAGCCAGCACGGCTCAGCTTGGAAACCTCTCCCTTTCCCCTCAGCATGGCTGGCTCAGGAATTCTGGGAGTTGAAGTCCACGAGTCATAAAAGAGCCAAGGTTGCCTACCCCTAGGGGAAAGACCTTGTCATAACTACCATTAACTTTCTAGGAAAGAATCCTTCAATGCTCATATTCCATTCCTTAGAATGATCAGACGGAATAGGAGCAAAATCTGGTTATGTACAGTATAATTTATTTATTTTTTTTTTAAAAAAACAAGATTTTGCTGCCCTCGGCCCCAAATTTACAACTATTGAAACTGCTCAAAGTACAACTCTGACCAAAAGGTCGTATTTCAAAATGAAACGGGTCTTCAAGAGGTTAGCTGTGATACGGTGGCCTCTGTGTTGGGCAGGTGGTCATGATCTGGGAAGAGTTCGGAAGACCAGTCGGCAACATGAGGCACGGATGAAGGTGTGGGAAACAACTTTGATCGGCTGAGGTCTACAAAAGATGGCTTGTCAAGTGATTCAGTGATTGGCGGACCAAGCATCGTTGTCTGTTGACACGTAGGTTGGCCCTCAATGCCAGCTTCTTCCGGCTGTGGCTTTTTAGGAAGAAATCGGACCTTTGCTAATCTGGAAAGATTGCTTGGACTTGTGGATCCTCCTTGCTTTTCAAAAAGAGGAGAATCCTTTGTCACTTGAGAATCGCCGTGAAACCTGACAAAGCTGTTTCTCCTTTTCCTTCTCTGCCATTTTACATCCTGATCTTGAATTTTCTCTGACGGAGGACTCCATTCTTGGCCACCATCTTCAGACTGTAGCCCTTTGGCCGAGAGGCGACTCACAAATAACCCCGGAGGTCCACACGGATTGACCGTGCCAGCTTCTGCATTGCTTGACCTTGTAGACCTCGAGAACTTGCTGATCAGCTGTTTTGCTAAAGGGTTTTTAAAGGGGAGCCTAGGCCTCTTACACTTGGCCTTGTCCCAAGGCAATTTATTCAGGGGCAAATCACTTAGAATGGATCCTTTCCCTGCAAGGAGGCTGTCTGGATGATAAGGCCTTGTGAGGGGAATGGAGTGGGGATCAGGAGTGAAATCCAGGATACCTACAAAGCTGCATTCTGACTTGAACAATGATCCAGCAATCGGAGTGCTTGTTTTGGGGGCGGAGACACCCACTGCATCATGGAATGATAACCCATAATTAGAATTATTCCAGCTGCCCTTTACCTTACCTTGCCTTGCCATGAATTCTGACGTTATACAGTTTGGGCTCAGGGCACCAGCCCACGGCGAGACTATTTGGGGCCCGTGTAACGTTGCTGAAGTGTTTTTTGTTGATCCCCTGACACTAATATCAAAGAGATCTGCCGAAGCATCAAAATTAGCCTTGGGGCAGCTGGAACCCGCCCCTGGGGAACAGTAGACATCCCTTCGTCTCAAAGAATAGTCTTGTTCTTCCGCGGGCAGCTTGTTCTCTTTATCTTCACCTGATTTCTCACAGGGGCCTGAGGCAGAACGCTGCTCTTGACCGTTTGCTAAATCAGCAGTGCAGCTGTGATTGTCAAGTTCGGCAAGAAATTCCATTAAGACTTCAGAGGAGGCTTCTTGAGAGGTTACACCTCCCGTAGCATCAGGAGAAGATGTGGAAGCCAGGCGTTCCTTAGGTCTCTGGTGGGGCAAAGGGGGCTGTGGATTTGTTAGCCCACAGCTGGACTGGATGCTAATTCTGTGTGAGGAATCTTTCTGCGCCAATGCTAAAGGGCTTTCTAGTAGATCGCCATCTTTTCTTCTTATGGAAGGTTTACCTCCTGGTTCGTCCTTAGTGGTGACGCTTTGTGGAGAAGGATACAAACAAGACGTCTTATTTTCTTGTCCATATCCTTTATCCTGCATCAGGTTTTGGCTCCTGAGGTTGTAAACCAAGTGCCTCTGCGACATAACAGATCCACCTTCGCATCTTTGCTGCTCCGAGGCGGCCTGGCACGAAACGAAAGCCGCAGAGTGTTCTGCGTTTTCTGAGGAAGTGGACGACCAGCTTAGTCCGAATGAGTGAGGCCAGAAGGCGGAAAAATCATTTCGACGACTGGATTGAGTCACATCCAAATCATCCCAGAGAGGCAGGCTCTTTAATTCTCTACTTGCATGATCAGATACCGTGACATGATCCGGAAGCCATAAAACCCCGTGCCTCTGTTTCAATTGAAAACATCGCTGTTGCTCCATGTAGTAGATAACGGTGTGGCCCACAAGCCCAGGATGGGGTACGAACATTTCAGAGGCGACGAGAGTTTTGGTGCTTCTCTCCGTTGGGCAGCCATTTTGCAATAAGCTAGCCACACTGGGCCTGTCGGAACTCTGCAAAGAAATGGAATTGGTTCTCTCAAAGTTATTTAATTGATTAAATTAAATTTCTAGACCTGGACTGCCTTCCTCTGCTCTCCCACCAGACAGAAGAGGATTCAGAAACTTGTTTTATCATGTTGTCCGTGTCAGCCAATTTCAAACTGTTAATTACCTGAAGCTGGCTGGTTTAAACTAGACCAGGGGTTCTCAACCTTGGCAACTTTAAGACTTGTGGACTTCAACTCCCAGAATTCCTCAGCCAGCTTTGCTTGAAGTCCACAAGTCTTAAAGTTGCCAAGGTTGAGAACCCCTGAATTAGACCTAGGAAACCTTAGCTCCAGTTCTAGCTACAGAGTAAAAGGAAATTGCATTTATTTATTTATTTGGGAAATTTATGCTGCCGCCTACTTGCTCATGGCGACTCAAACCCCATGAAATCAGCTGAAAAGCTGGTATCCTTATGAACTTCCACCCTCTTTTCTTTTTTTTAAAAAAAATATATTTAAAAACTTTTTCAAAAATGTATTTATGAGCGGTGGTGGCACAGTGGTTAGAAGGCAGCACTGCAGGCTAATTTTGCTGGCTGCCAGCTGCTGGCAGTTTGATCCTGACGGGCTCAAAGTTGACTCAGCCTTTCCTCCTTCCAAGGTCGGTAAAAGGAGGACTCAGGTTTTTTCTTTGGGAGGGGGGAATATGCGGATTCTGTAAACTGCTTAGAGAGGGCTGTAAAAGCAATGTGAAGTGGTATATAAGTCTAAGTGCTATTGCTACTGCTAAGTGCTATTTAATCTGGGGAGTTAATTTCATTTTGGTGTATGCCGATTGGTGTACATTCAAAATGACAATAAAGTTGATATTGTCTTATTGTAATAGGCGCCGCTATTTGGAGGAACATGGATGTCCAGGTGTCCACAGACTGTTGTGCTGTTGATCCCTGGAGAGGGTTTATAGCATTTAAGCAGTTCTGCACGGGGATTATAGTCTTGTACAACTTGAGCCTCAACATTATAAACATGAGAACATGCACCTGGATCAAGATAGAATCAATGTTCCAGTGACTGGAACTGTTATTTCAGGCTGTCAAATGGCAATTACGAGGATGCTCATAATTTAAACCAGAAACCTGAGCATGCACGCCCAGAAGCTTGCCCAACAAAGCAAATTATCCGTCACGCTTCAATTGCACGTTTCCTAAAAGATTTATGCTAAGCAGAACCGTCACCTTAATTCTGAAGACAAACTTCTTCCCAACAAAGCAGGTTTCAACGGCACGAAATACTACACCAAACACGGCATCGTTTTTGTCCTCTTCTGCTTCTCGGTCCAGTTCTTCGATGTACCTTGATGGAGGATAATTTAATTTCTAATTTAATTAGCACTCTCCCAGCACTTTTTAAAAATGATACCCAGGAAGGGAAGCGAACAGACCTTGCCTTTTGACAAATGTTTCACATTGCTGGTGAACATCTCCCACAAGCCCTTTAGGAATCCAGCCTAAAAGATGCTGAATTCAGGATTCTGAGGGACACCATAAATAAAGCAACAGATTTCTGCTTTCTGGCCCGATTCCTCTTTTGCTGATAAATCATTTATCTGATGAGTTATAAATCTTTCCAGATGGTTTAACTGTCTGCTGATAGATAGATAGATATAGATATATATTTGACTTTAAAAATACCAGAACCATTGCCAAAAGTGAACATTTTAATAACAGAATAATCAGAGAAGCCATTGAGATAGAAAAACGCCCACACAGCATGAACAAGCGAGATGATACCTCCCGCCTACCAGCCATTTGGAAACCCACCCTCATTGACAAACGACTCCCTAACACAAAAAATGATACCAGACCCACACTCACAAAAACCACACAGGATGTCACCACCAAACATCCACGCAAAAAACAAACCCAAAGCCACACTGACTATGAGGCACGACCACAAACCAGAAGCCAGACCACAGCTGCATCATTAGCCACTTTAAACCCCCCCAATCCATACATGAAGCAAACTGACACCCTCCATGAAGAGGAAGCACGACCACGAACGCGAAGCCAAGGAATGGCAGGGCAGCCCAAAATCTTGAATCCCTCTGCAACTCAGACTAACCTGAGCACAACCAAACAGAACACTCCCCCAGCCAATCAGAGCACAGCCAACCCCCCAGCCAATCAGAGCACAGCCAACCCCCCAGCCAATCAGAGCACAGCCAAGCCCCTAACCAATCAGAACACACCTCCACCCAATCAGAACACAGCCAAGCTCCCACCCAATCAGTTCATACCTCCACTGGCAGTTAAAAGGAAGAAACAGCCAAGACCACACACTGCTGCTCGAGGCACGAAGCTGAAAGCACCAGCCTGAAGATGACGAATGGGACTTCGTCGAAACGTCGCCAAGACACTTCCAATTTTACGTGGGAGAAAACCCGAACAACCAAAGACATATATATATATATATATATATATATATATATATATATATATATATAATATATATACACAACACACACATACATACACACACATACATACATATACATATACATATATACATATGTAAGTCTTTGGTTTTCGGGTTTTCTCCCGCGTAAAATTGGAAGTGTCTTGGCGACGTTTTGATGAAGTCCCATTCGTCATCTTCAGGCTGGTGTTTTCAGCTTCATGCTTCGAGGAGCACGAAGCTGAAAACACCAGCCTGAAGATGACGAATGGGACTTCGTCAAAACGTCGCCAAGACACTTCCAATTTTACACGGGAGAAAACCCGAATAACCAAAGACCTACATACAAACACCTGCGAAAACCTCAGAAAACAAATATATACATATATATATATATTTCAAACGGTTCCTCATACATCAGATTCTTCCAGGAAATCTTTGGCATCTCTCTCATGTGTGACTACAAGCATGGAAATCATGTTGTCAATTAAATTGAAATGATCTTCTCAACCTGGGAACTGACAACTGTTTTCAGACACGCTATATAGGTGGTCCTCCACTTAACGGCCACAACTGAGCCCAAATTTTCCGTTGGGTAAGCAAGACAGTTGTTAAGTGAGTTTAATGACCTTTCTTGCCACAGTTGTAAAGTGAATCGCTGTGTTTGTTAAGTGAACCACACGGTTGTTAAGTGACTCTGGCTTCCTCCGTTGACTTTGCCTGTCAGAAGGTCGCCAATGATGATCACATGACCCTAGGACAGGGGTAGGCAACCTCAGCTCTTTTATGACTTGTGGACTTCAACTCCCAGAATTCTGGGAGTTGAAGTCCACAAGTCATAAAAGAGCCAAGGTTGACTACCCCTGGCTTAAATGGTTAAACAAGGACTCCCTGTAGTCCAGTGTTTCCCAAACTTGACAAATTTAAGGCATGAGGACTTCAACTCCCAGAATTCCACAGCCAGCAACGCTCACCGGCTCAAGGTTGACTCAGCCTTCCATCCTTCCGGGGTAGGTAAAATGAGGACCCAGATTGTTGGGGGCAATGTAAATATATATATATATATATATACATTGCTTACTGGTGTACACCGCTTAGAGCAGCGGTTCTCAACCTATGGGTCGCGACCCCATTTGGGGTCGATCGACCATTTTTCGGGGGGCGCCAAAGGTGGCGATCCGCCATTTTCTCCCCTCCGGGGGTGGCGCCGCGCCTCCGGAGGTGGCGCCGCGCATAACGTTTGTGTGACGGGGGTCGCCATCACACAAACGTTGAGAACCGCTGGCTTAGAGAGTGCTTGCACTTAAAGCGGTATATAAGTCTCATAAATAAATAAATAAATAAACAAACAAACACTGCTGTAGTCTATCAGCCAAAGGAGGGGAGGGGATTTTCACAGTCAGACATCTCAAAAGCACAGGGCCAAAAGGTGGTCCCTATGGAATTATTCCCCCCACGCTTTTCTTTTTCCCATTTTACTTGTTGAGTAAAGCACAAAGGCTGTGGGAGCCCTAGGTTGCAATCAGATTGGAAGAGAACAGGATTCTGGCAACGTTCTTAAAAAACCCTTTATTCCTTATCACTTGTTCAGCTTTCTCTGCTGCAGAAACGATCAAATCTGCCAAATATTTTAAATAAATCAAGACAACCTTATGCTGTTCAAAAAAATAAATAAATAGTTACCTGCCTCTTACTCATTTTCTGTGCAGAATTTAAATGTTCTGGGCAAAAACCCAATAGCTATATTTTCTTTTAATATAGAGAATTGGTGTTAATGAACATAACACAAGGTTCTTATAAAGAGAAGAGAAAGGCGAGGAATAATTTTCCCGAAGGTTAATCATGAATTCAGGGAAATGTGAACTCAAAAGAGTTTTTAGATCCAAGTTGAGACCGTTTCTCCAATTAATGCACTGGCCTCGCCACACCTTTTACAGCTCCGCAAATTTAATTGCCATTATTAATATATACCGTATTTTCCGGCGTATAAGACGACTTTCTAAACCATGAAAATCTTCTCAAAAGTTGGGGGTCGTCTTATACGCCCAGTTGTCTTATACGCCGGAAAATACGGTACCAGCTTGGTATCCAGGCAGCAAACTGAACAGCAACTGTTCTGAGAGATATAATTAAATCACTTAAATAGACCGAAGGAAGCAAGCTCATGCGTCTTCTCAGCGAAGTAATCCCTTTCTTTACCTTTGCAGACCCTTTGCTGTAGCTCCAAAATAGGCATCTAAGCAGCTTCCAAATACTGTGACCTCATAAACATCATGTGTGTCGGCTACCTCCAGCGAAAGTCGGTATCTGTAGTTTGCTTCTTTGGTGTCGCCTGAACCACCACACTTCTGGCAATTGTATCTGACAAAAGAAAGACAACGAAGGGATTCAGATGTTGTAAGATCACAGGAAAAGTCTCACTACTGCAGTAGGCCTAAGGCTGGTGTCAGGCCTGCCACAACTGAAGCCTCTGGACCAGTGTTTCTCAACTTTGACCATTTTAAGGGATGCGGACTTCAACTCCCAGAATTCCACAGCCAGCAATGCTGGCTGTGGAATTCTGGGAGTTGAAGTCCACATGCCTTAAAATGGTCAAGGTTGAGAAACACTGCATAGTCTGGACAGAAACGATCCTTGGCTCCATTTTCTTGAAAAAGGTGTATCGGGGGTCTTCAAACTTGGCCCTTTTATGACTTGTGGACTTCAACTCCCAGCATGCCTGGCTGAGGAATTCTGGGAATTGAGGCCCACAAGTCATAAAAGGGCCACGTTTGAAGAGCCCCGAGGTAAATAATAAACTATATTCTAATAGAGGTCAAGCGCATTGTGGTATTGCAAAGCCAGAACTGAGAATCGCGTGCCCAAATCCCTAAGTTCTACTTTTTCCTCCCTTAGTTGTCTCTCGTTGGCCATCCCCATGTGACCAATCAGGTTGAGGCAAGATGTTTTCATAATGGTCAGTCCAAGCCGCAGTTTGGTCTGTGGCTCTCTCCTTCTTCCAGCTGGGTGACCTTGAGGCAGCATCTCCAGGAGATAAAGCACTTACTTTCATGTTCCCCAAATCTTCCCCCCCTTCACCGCCACTCCCCACAGTTCATGGCAGTTTGTCACCGCATAGCAGCGAAGCACAAACAAGGATAAAGTGGCAGCTGACAGCTGGTACAGTTGAATGAAGTCCTTGAATTTACAACCACAATGCAGGTAATCCACAACTAACTATTTAGTGACTGTTTGGCGTTACAACACATTGAAAAGAGTGACTCGTGACCATTTTTCACACGACCATTTCAGCATTCCCATGGTCAGGGGTTGGCAACCTTAAACACTCAAAGAGCCACTTGGACCCGTTTCCCAGAGAAAAGAAAACACCGGGAGCCGCAAAACTTGCGTGCGCGTACCGGGGGGGGGGGGAGGAGACCTTGATTGAAGAGTTTAATTAAAAAGAAATAGAGGCTGCTGTGCATGAGTTCTCTCTCTCTCTCTCTCTCTCTCTCTCTCTCTCTCTCTCTCTCTCTCTTTTTGTCTACCTCCCTCTCTCTGTATGAGAGAGAGAGAGAGAGAGAGAGAGAGAGAGAGAGAGAGAGAGAGAGATATGCTGCTTTCTGCTGCGATGCAGCAAAGGCAGGAACCTCGCCAATAAGCTTGTCCGAGAACAGCATGAGGCCACTCTCTTTTTACACACACACAGAGAGAGAGAGAGAGAGAGAGAGAGAGAGAGAGAGAGAGAGAGAGAGAGAGAGAGAGAGAGAAGTGCAAGTGCCTCTCTCTGTCTCTGCAAATGGCGGAAGAGGCTAGGAGCCGCAGGAGAAGGCTCAAAGAGCCACATGGTCATGTGATCAAAATTCAGACACTTGGCAACTGACTCATATTTAGGACACTTATTGTATCTAAAGGCTTGGCTGTTTTATTTGCCATAACATGGAAAAGAAATAGATATATACTACAATAAGCTGTCCTCCTTGTCCTCTCAGAGCTGATTATATCAGTAAAGGTATTTCTTTTTCTTTCCTGTTTACTACAGGTAGTCCTCAACTTAGGACCACAACTTAGCCCAAAATTTCTATTGCTAAGTGAAACGTTTGTTAAGCGACTTTTGTCCCATTTTACGACCTTTCTTGCCACAGTTGTTAGGTGAATCACTACAGCTGTTAAGTTAGTAAGCCGGTTGTAAAATGACTCTGGCTTTCCTGTTGACTTTTGCTAGTCAGAAGGTCACAAAATGCGACCACATGATTCCGGGACACTGCAATCGTCATAAATATGAATCGGATGCCACGCATCCAAATTTTTGATCACGTGTCCACAGGGATGCCGCGTAAGTGTGAAAAACGGTCCAAAGTCACTTTGTTTTTTGGTGCTGTCGTAACTTTGAATGGTCGTTAAACAAATGACAGTAAGCTGAGGAGGACCTGTAATCCTTGAGATGGAGCATACCGTTTGAACTGCAGCGATAGCCTGGAAAAACAACTGTGACATGATGGATACACAAAGCTGCTGTTCTGGATGGAAATGACAGAGGCAACCAGGACGTCTCCGCCATTCATGTGCTTTCACAATTATCTATCGAAAGAAAACACAATTTCAGTTTCAAATATGGAATTCTACAATGGAAATATCTCTTACTCCAGAAACACATTACACCAAAAGGCTACGTTACACCTAACAGTGAGGACAATTAACCAGGGGAAAAGCTTGCCTCCAGAAATTGTGGGTGCTTCATCACTTGAGGTTTTTGAGAAGAGACTGGACAGCCACTTATCTGAAATGATAAAGGGTCTCCTGCTTGAGCAGGGGGCTGGAGTAGAAGACCTCCAAGGTCCCTTCCAGATTCTATTCTGATTCTTCTCCTTCTATTTGTTGGTGGCTAGCTCACTGGGTGAATTTACATCTTATAATATTGCATGCACCGTATATTGTATGAATAAGAAAAAGAGACAAATTTTTACAAGTGTCTTGGGGCATGCCATCTTGTCTAATTGCCTATCTTACTATGTAGTGTAGATTGAACATTTAGCACAGGGGTAGGCAACCTTGGCTCTTTGATGACTGGTGGACTTCAACTCCCAGAATTCCTGAGCCAGCCATGCTGAGGGGAGAGGGAGAGGTTTCCAAGCTGAGCCATGCTGGCTCAGGAACTCTGGGAGTTGAAGTCCACAAATCATAAAAGAGCCAAGGTTGCCTACCTCTGATTTAGCACATAGATTGACAAACTGACATGGTGTGGAGTATGCCAGAGAAGAAATGGTAAACGGAAATCAGCAAAGCCCAATGAATACGGTAGGATGAAGAGTCACAGTGTGTATACCAGCTCTTTGTAATTCCTCTCTGGGCAAGGAAAGAACATGAGATCACCCACAAGCGCTCCAGACAGTTTTTCCTTATGAGAAGATTTGCAACGCAGGGGCCTCTTGTGGGTTTAGAGCTCTAGAACAAGGGAATAACCATCTTGTCGCTCAAACTGCGGTCAGATGGAGATAAAATCAGACGGGGAGTTTGGTTTGACAGTATGAGCCTTATCTAGTGGCTGCAAGAGACAGCCAGTAAGCCATATGGAACTCTTCCAGAATGCACCTCTAAGATGACATCGGTTCAGAAGTTCTAGTTCTAGTGCAGTGATGGCGAACCTTTTAGAGACAGAGTGCCCAAAACTGGCCCTGCCCCCATTCCACCCCGTCCCGCTCGTGCCCCACCCCCCACCCCGCCTGCCTGCAGGGCCACTCACCGCCTCCAGGGCCCACCGCAGATTGCCCAGGCAGCCCAGCAGCGCCATGGTGGCCACGCCCTCTGCTCGCGCCCCGCAGCATCAACTGTGCACGATGGGGCATGAGGGCAGGGTCTTGTCTACGCTGCCTGGCTGCCATGTCCTTGGCTGCACTACTCCGCGTGGGCCATGCTCAGGGGCGACTCTCCTCCAGGGGGCCTGCTGGTGAGGAGGGGGTCGTGGGGGGAGGCGAGGCTGGGGCAACGGCACGTGTGTCCACAGAGAGGGCTCCAAGTGCCGCCTCTGGCACCCATGTTCTAGCGAATGAGTCACTGGTCATGATTCCAGAGAGTAACATAAGAGACTAGCCCTCAATTCCCATCCAGGGCAGGTCTGGGAAGATTCACTTTAAGGAAGTTGAATTGCTTCACAAAATCAGGATTTTTACACCACCTGTCCTGGAAAAGACTATCCCTTGGGATGCTGGCTGGTGAGCCATACATATACAGAGAGTCCTCGACTTACAACCATTCAGTCATCATTCAATGTTACAACAGCACTGAAGAAAAATGACTTGACAGTTTTTCACACGGATGACCATTGGAACATCCCCATGGTTGGGTAATAAAAATTCAGATGCTTAGTAGCTGACTCAGATTTATGACGGTTGCAGTGTCCCACAGTCGTGTGATCACTTTTTGCGACCTTCAATCAATCAATCAATCAGAATAGAGCTGGAAGGGATTTTGGAGGTCTTCTAGTCAAACCCCCTGCTCACGCAAAGTCAATGGGGGAGCCAGATTCACTTCACAATCGTGTTACTAGCTTAACAACTGCAGTGGTTCACTTAACAACTGTAGGCAGGAAAACTCACAACTGCCTTGCTTAGCAAAGGAAAGTTTGGGCTGAATTGTGGTCGTAAGTTTATTATTAGACATTGATTGATTTATACGACAATCATAAACCAAATCAACCTTGACATTTGTTGCTCAGATCTGGAGTAGGTCTGTTCCTTTCTAGCTCACTCAGACAATACACAATAGAGTTTTGTGCAATTGCACAACCGAAAATAGCTCATCTCTGTGGCAATGCGTCACATATGCTGCTCAAGCTGGTACGTTTAGGCCTGCCTAGAAAATCTTGTGTGAAAATTAGATCCCTGACCCACAGTAGAGAAGCATCTTTTTGGATGGACTACTCTCTCCTTCTAGCTGTGATCTAGTCTTTTAACTCCATTTTAACTCTGAACCTAGAACTTTTTCCATTGTGGAAGACATCAGCACTCACTCATCCCCTGCTTCCCCTATCTCAAAGAAGGGTGCAAATGCCTGCTTGGAACTCAAAGAGTTTCTGTCACTGCAGACTCCAATGCAAAGCAACATTGCCAAACTTTTTTTTGTCCTAGGAGTTCAGCTTCTTTTGGAATTAAAAGGAAGCCCTTCCTAAGGAAGAACCTGTTGTTGTTGTTCACCCGCTAAATAATGTCCAATTTTTTGGCCCACACCACATCATGCCCCTCCTGCCCTCCTCTGCTCCCGGAGTTTTCCAAAATTCATGTTTGTTGCACTGAGGACATGATCTAACCAGCCGTAATGGCGCAGTGGTTAGAATACAGTACTGCAGGCTAATTCTACTGACTGCCAGCAGTTCGAATCTCACCGGCTCAAAGTTAACTCAGCCTTCCATCTTTCCAAGATGGGTAAAATGAGGACCCAGATTGTTGGGGGAAAATATGCTGATTCTGTAAACCGCTTAGAGAGGGCTGGAAAGCACTGTGAAGCAGCATATAAGTCTAAGTGCTGTTGCTATTTCATCCTCCCCTTCTTCCTTTACTTTCAACGAAAGAACCTGGTTTAGCATTTAAGAAATTCATGGAGCAGAATGGGGAAAAAATACATATACTACCTTAGCTATAAGTTCCAATTCCCGGAAGTTGAAGAGATACACAGCTAAATGCCTTAACAAGCCATGCAGCCCTGAACAACAGTAGATGTAGTTCCACCAGGTGGAGACATACTGAGAGATCAGGAATATATGGAGCTCAATCTGACACCTTCCCTGAATCTGCCTCCTAACCATACATCAGGGTAATAAACCAGTATTGTTAAAGCACCTGTAGAGGTAGGTAATCAGATATTTACCACCAGACACCATTACTCCAGCAGAAGCACCTATTCAGGTTGAATTAAATGGTGCTTTGCAGCCATTTCCTCATTCTACTAGGGTTTTTTTTTTTCAGTTAGAGCAGCAAAGCCTTTCCTTGTGCCATTTGTTCCTTAAATGCCTACTGCTTCATCAAGAAACTTTATCCAGATCAAATATCATTCCCCATCTAAGCCAATAAAAGAAGGGATGCTCTGACCCAGATAGAAGAAATGGTAACACCTCAACTGCAGTAAACTAGAAAACTGTTAAGTTTTAACAAACTGCATCACTGTTTCAGTATCTCAGAGCCATACAGAGAGTGGTTAAAAAGACAAAATGAAAGGATAGCTCACCAGAAATTGCCAGGTGGAGGAAAAGGTGTTCTACTCCCTTTCTCCCTAAATAATGGGGGTGAGAGAAGTTGGCTCCAACATAGCTGGAGCATGCCAAGTTGAAGAAATCCAGTTAAATCCGTCCACTGGAAGAGAAGAAAAAGGTCTAATTTCCTGAAAGACAAAATAGCAAACATTTTAATGCTGGCTGTCTTGGGAAATCTCACTCCTTCATCATTTCACGGGGGTCGCCAAACAACGCAGTCTGCCATTTTTTTCCCCTTTTCCTTAGCTGTGCTACTCCCTTTTATTCTATTGGCTTTTGAAAGCCAATCGAATAGACTCTCTTGAATAGAGTCTAATTCTATTGGCTTTCAAAAGCGAATAGGAATTGTCCAGGCTGTCTCTGCCCTCCTGAGCCCGCCAAAAGTGCCATTCTGCAAACGTGCTGAAAGTTGTCTGCAGCGAAGGCGAGCTGTCTGGGAGTTTCCACCCCTCCTTGCTGAGCAACTACTAAAAATGTAAGTAAAAGAGGGCCAGGGGTGGGAGGTGGGAGGCTGGTGGGCACAGGGAGGGTTGCTGGCATGTGTGGGGCCCGGCGAGTGCCTTACCTCCCTTGGGCTGGGCCAGCTGGTGGCCCAGCCAGTGATCGGCCTGCGCTGTCTCTGCCGCTTGCCAGCTACGCTTCGGCTAGCGCAGGGGTCGGCACCATGCATGCGCGGCGCACCCGGGCAGGGAAAGTCCTCGACTTACAACCGGTTGGGGGTCGTGGCATTAAAAAGGTTGAGAACCACTGCTCTAGAAACAGGAATCTGCACTAGTTGGGTTTCTGCCTGCCACAAGTTTCCATCCAGGTGTTCTCAAAACAGTGAGGCTTTTAGTCATGAGAAAAGCTGCTGCCCCACACTGGAATTAAAGCGCTGGCTGGGGATGATGGAAAGCAGGGTCCACATTTCAGCAGTCTGAAAGACCCTATAAAGGGCTCTTCAAACTTGGCCCTTTTATGACGTGTGGACTTCAACTCCCAGAATTCCTCAGCCATCATGCCTGGCTGAGGAATTCTGGGAGTTGAAGTCCACAAGTCATAAAAGGGCCAAGTTTGAAGACTCCTGCCCTAGAACAAGTATGGTTGGTGTGAATGGATATCCCGCCTTTTATACAAGAGTGATCAAGGCAGCCTTCATAATATTCCCTCCTCCCAGTTTTAAGCAAACAACAACCCTGTGAGGTAGGTCGGGCTGAATGGGACCGGCCCAAAGTGGCCCAGGGAACGTCCATCGCTGAGGATCAAATTCCTAGTCAAAATAAATAAAATAAAATATTTTTTTGGGAGGAGACTATAAAGTGAGGCAAACGAGATGACTATTCACCCATAGCCCGAACAAGAACACACCTTCCAGCAGAAGCCCTTCTTCCGGAAGCACTCCCGAGGTTCAGGTCGGAAGTGACGACAACTTCTTTCTCCCTATCAGCGTGCAGCTCGGAGGAGAGATGCTCCAATTCCCGCCCCTTTTCTTCCCGCCTCAACTCAACCAACTTCCCAGCCCCGCCCACTCGCTCCCTTCTCTACCCAATCGGAGTGCTTCGTCGTTTCTATCTGCCGTGGCAACCACGACCAGCTTTGTCAAAGATGGGGTGACCGGGGGGGGGGGAGTGGTGGTGGAAAGGAACAGCCTACACCAAGGGTCTTCAAACTTGGCCCTTTGATGACTTGTGGACTTCAACTCCCAGAATTCCTCAGCCAGGCACGCTGGCCAAGTTTGAAGACCCCTGCCCTACGCTTTTGCCTCAGGCGGAATCGCAGAAAGCCTCTCTGAAGGCTTACCTGCCTTTCTGGCTCTCCTCCCACCGCTCTCTTATTCTCTCTGGCAGCGAATCATCGAATGGGGGGCGTGGCTGATTTTTGAGAGGAGCCGCTCATTTGCTCGTCTCGGGCTGTGGGTGGGGTCAGACGGCTTTCTGGCCCGCCCCCTTCCCGCAACCCGGGTATAAAAACGGGAGAAGCGGCGGCAGTCTTGATTTCGGCCGGTTGCCCAGCCGTCATGAGGGTCTCTGCGGGGATGTGGGGCGGGTGGCTCTTCTGCCTCGCCTGGGTCGGCGATTTCGGGCGTGCCCAGAGCATCTTCGCTCCTCTGCGTCTCCACGAGGCCCCCCGTCCCGATCCCTCCCGGCTCTTGGGGCTTCACGCTTACCGCACTTGCTATATCACCCAGAAGGTAAGGCAGAAAGAGCCGGGCGGCTTCCCTTCAAGCCCTTTCGTCGCAAAGCATCCTGTGTTTCTTCCTCCACACACTCCCTTCCGTTTCCCTTTTAACCGTGCCTGTATCCAGTGGTGGTGAGTTCCGCAGGATCGCCCTCGCTGTGCCTGGAAGGGAAAATTTGCAGCGAGAGCTGCAGCAAAAGGAAGCCTCTCGTTGGACTGGCAAGCCAGCCAACAAAAGGGGTCTGAGTTTAGTGCCGCAATAACTAACTGTGATTCCTAGCACATCCTTGATCATACACAGGTTAGCGGGGCTTGACCCATCAACGCACTGGGATTTAACAATTGCACTGTCTCTGAAGCTTAGCCTGTTGTGGGAAGACACAGAAAGAATCTGATGCTGCAGGATGGCGGTATATCCTAAGTCACTCAACCTTGGCCATTTTAAGTTGGGTGGACTTCAACTTCCAGAATTCTTCAATCAAAGATAATATTTGTAGTTCAGGGTTGAAATGAGAGGTCCTTGATGCTCTCTGAGCTTGTTTTCTTGCAGACATTTCATTACCCAAACTAGGTAACACCATCTGTGCTAGCTTGTTTTCTTGCAGATGCTAGTAATGCATGATGATATCACCTAGTTTGGGTAATGAAACACATCTGCAAGAAAACAAGCTCAAAAAAAAAAAAAACCGTCAAAGACCCCTCATTCTTCAATCAGCATGCAGCCAGTATACTGGCTGGGGAATTCTGGGAGTTTGAAGTCCACACATCTCCAAGTTGTTGAAGTTGAGAAATGTTAGAATAGAATAGAGCTGGAAGGGACCTTGGAGGTCTTCTAGTCCAGCCCCCTGCTCAAGCAGGAGAACCTACACTGTCTCAGCCAAGTGACTGGCTAGTCTCTTCTTGAAAATCTCCAGTGATGGAGTGCCCATGATTTCTGGAGGCAAGCTGTTCCACTGGTTAATTGTCCTCACTGTCAGGAAGTTTCTCCTTAGTTCCAGTTTGCTTCTCTCTTTGGTCAGTTTCCAACCATTGTTTCTCGTCTTTCCCTCTGGTGCTTTGGTAAACAACCTGGCCCTCTCTGCCTTGTAGCAGCCCCTCAGATCCTGGAACACTGCTATCATGTCTCCCCTATTTCTTCTTTTCTTTAGACTGGCCAAACCCAAGTCCCGCAGCCGTTCTTCGTATGTTTTAGTCTCCAGGCCTTTGATCATCTTAGTTGCTCTTCTCTGAATTTTTTCCAAGGTCTCAACATCTTTTTTTGTGATATGGTGACCAAAATTAGCTGCAGTATTCCAGGTGTTGTGTTACTAGGGTTTTATAAAGTGTGATCTTGAGTCTATTCCTCTGTTTATATAACCCAGGATTGTATTAGCTTTTTTGGTTGCTGCTGCACACTGCTGGCTCATAGTCAAGTGATTGTCCACCAAGACTCCAAGGTCCCTCTTACACTTACTGTTTTTAAGCCAAGTCTCACCCAATCTGTATTTCTACCTTTGGTTTTTCCTGCCTAAATGTAAGATTTTGCTTTTCTCCACATTGAAACTCATTTTGTTGGTTAGGACCCATTGTTCAAGTTTGTTAAGATCTTTTTGGATCCTGAGTTTGTCTTCTGGGGTGTTGGCTACTCCTGTCAGTTCGGTGTCATCTGCAGATATGATGAGTTCCCCTTCAATTCTCTCCTCTGTCATTGATGAAGATTAGTGCATAATGTCAATCTGGGTTAGGGTTTGTTCAGCTAATCGTTGGCTTACCCTGTCTGAAGACTGTCTTGTTGGGCTAGGATGGCCGTTTTGAAAGAAATCGGGCTGGGAAAGAGAAGAATGGGTTTAGGGGAAAGTTTGTAAGACTGTGGGAAAAATATTGCAAAGAAGAGATGGTCTTAGGAAGGCAATCTGTCCATTGATTATTCTGACTTGAGTACTTTTTGGATGTCTTATGTGGGGGTAGTCTCTGAGTTTGGAAAGTTTGATGCTGAACATCAGGCTAATCAGTCAAACAAGCCACTATCATATAAAGCTAATCCTTGATTTACCACCACAACTAAGCCCCAAATTTCTGTTGCAAAGCAAGAAAGTTAAGTGGGTTTTGCCCCATTTTTATGACCTTCCTTGCCACAGTTGAGTGAATCACTGCAATTGTTATGTTAGGAAGCGAAGCTGGCTTCTCCATTGACTTTGCTTGCCAGAAAGTCACAAAAAGGGGAACACATGACCCCGGGACACTGCAACCGTCATAAATATGAATCAGTGCCTGAATTTGGATCACGTGATCATGGAGATGCTGCATCAGTCGTAAGTGTGAAAAATCATGCTAAGTCACTTTTTTTTCAGTGCCTTTGAATGGTCACTAAATGAATGGTTGTAAATTGAGGACTACCTGTAATCGGATGATTATGCTGGCTTTGAGGGGTGATTTGGCGGAGTTGCTGAAGATGGGCTTTTCAAAAGCTCAAACCTCTAATGCAGTGGTTCTCAACCTTTTTAATGCCGTGACCCCCAACCGGTCGTAAGTCGAGGACTACTCAACTGGTGCAGCACCGTTTGCAGAATGGGACTTTTGGCGGGCTCAGCAGGGCAGAGACAGCCTGGACAATTCTTATTGGCTTTTGAAAGCCAATCGAATTAGACTCTATTCAAGAGAGTCTATTTTATTGGCTTTCAAAAGCCAATAGAATAAAAGAGAGTAGCACAGCTAAGGAAAAGGGAAAAAAAATGGCGGACTGCGTTGTTTGGCAACCCCCATGAAATGGTCGTTCAACTCCAAATGGGGTCCCAACCCACAGGTTGAGAACCACTGCTCTAATGCAAGTTACTATATATAGTAGATGTTCGGCTATTGCAGTGATGGCGAACCTTTTAGAGACCGAGTACCCAAACTTCAACCCAAAACCCACTTATGCATCGTCGGGTGGCGGGTGGGCGTGGCCCATTGGGTGGACATGGCTGCGGTGATAATGGCAGACTGGGTGGGACTAAAAAGTTCAATCAATCAATTCCAGCTTTGTGAGATCTTTTTTTTTCCGCGAGAAGTTGAAACTGACTGATTGATTGAACTTTTTTTTTTTTTTTGCACACGGCAGCGGTGGCCTAAAGCGAAAAGGTTTTATAAAACCCAGCTGAAGATCTAGGACTGGAGCGATGGCACGCGTGCCCACAGAGAGGGCTCTGAGTGCTGCCTCTGGCACCTGTGCCATAGGTTCGCTACCACTGGGCTATTGTATTAAGCCTGCAAGGAAGTTAATGTAAATTCTGATCTTGCTTCTTGGAAGCCTTTAAATTCAACTTCCGTTGTACTGGTGCAATGATTCCATTTCTCCTTAAAACGTGGCAGCGTTGTGTTCATTGTTCAGTTAGAAGTGCTGACAATCTTGAGCCTCTGTGACTGGAAAGTTAAATGGCAGTTTGTACTATCATAATAGGTTTGTTAAGCAAGCAGGTGAAATGGCAAATATTTTGAACATTACAATCTTGTAATGGATGAATTTGCAAGCTATTCAATTGGGACATCCCAAGCTTGATGTAAGAATTGGAATCACAATTACTCTTAAGCGTGGGAACTTTCTGCAAAGTTGCGAAGTGTGCCAATCTTCCCACAGATGGCTTTTTAAAAAAAGAATTAATAATAATGATAATAATAATAGTAAAGTTGGAAGGGACCTTGGAGGTCATCTAGTCCAACCCCCTGCTCGGGCAGGAAACCCTACACCATTTCAGACAAATGGCTGTCCAGTCTCTTCTTAAAAACTTCCAGTTTTGGAGCATTTACTGCTTCTGGAGGCAGGCTGTTCCACTGATTAATTGTTCTCACTGTCAGGAAGTTTCTCCCTAGTTCTAGGTTGCTTCTCTCCTTGATTAGTTTCCACCCGTTGCTTCTTGTCCTGCCTTCAGGTGCTTTGGAAAATAGCTTAATTCCCTCTTCTTTATGGCAGCCCCTGAGATATTGGAATACTGCTATCATGTCCCCCCTTGTCCTTCTCTTCGTTAAACTAGACATACCCAATTCTAGCAACCGTTCCTTATATGTTTTAGCCTCCAGTCCCCTAATCATCTTTGTTGCTCTTCTCTGTACTCTTTCTAGAGTCTCAACATCTTTTTTACATCGTTGTGACCAAAACTGGATGCAGTATTCCAAGTGTGGCCTTACCAAGGCATTAAAGAGTGGTATTAATACTTCACGTGATCTTGATTCTATCCCTCTGTTAATGCAGCCTAGCACTGGGTTGGCCTTTTTGGCAGCTGCAGCACACTGCTGGCTCATATTTAAGCAAGTAGTTGTTTCTTTGGCTAGATCAGTGGTTCTCAACCTGTGGGTTGGGACCCCATTTGGGGTCGAACGACCATTTCACGGGGGTTGCCAAACAATGCAGTCTGCCATTTTTTTTGCCCTTTTCCTTAGCTGTGCTACTCCCTTTTATTCTATTGGCGGTACAGATAATTCAACAAACTATGTTGCATTACATTCTTGATTAAATTATCTTTCCATTGATATATAATTGTATGGTACTGCTCCAAAAAGAAAGTGGTGTTATTAGCCCTCAAACCTCAAAAATACACTTTTCCCAAAAGGTTTCCACTATTTTGGCCACTACTGTAAATGCATTCATCAAAAGAAGTGCACACCGGGCAGTCTTCAGTTGTTTGGAAATTTCTGCATTTTGGCATTGCAAGAAAATATTGAGTTATCTTGCCCTTTCGTCTGATTTTAGATTCATGCCTAAGGAAGGACTGGTGTAATATCTGAGTACCGTAAATTAGCATAATGGCTGCCTGTCTTGCTCCAGGGATGGTAACAACAGCAAAGTACACTTAGCCGCTTTGTAGTTGAAACGTGAGATCAGATTAACTGGGAAATAATGTGGGGTTTGATGTGTAATGCCTTAAGCAGAAATGGAAAAAAAAAACCCCTTGGTATCAATTGAAGGAGAATATTTGTAGCTGAGGGTTAAACTATGGGATCCTTGGTGCTTTCTGAGCTTGCTTGTTTTCTTGCCCAATTAGATAACATCATCAGTGC